TGAATCATTAATTTTTAGCAAAAATACTTTATTAGAATTCTGATTTTTTTCTGTACAAAAGACAATGTTTACTGAAAGTTTGCCAAATTTCATGAAGATCCAAAATCTTATCATATCAGACAATGTATTGATACAATAGTATCATGGCTTCATGATATGATACCCGTATAATATCGCTGTACTGCCACACCTTTAATATACATATATATACACACACACACGCATACATATGCTTAAAATGTTAAACTGGAAAAATAAAAATCAATCTTACCACTTTCTTCCTTAATGTGCCAGGCATTTAACATATTTGTGTTTTCCCTATGGGTATTGTAAAGTACTTGGTATTTCTGAATGATCCCATTTGGATGTTTTGGTTTTTTCCATGATACTCGAATAGTGTGAACATCAACAATGGACCACTTCAAAGAAGTAGGTGGACCAGGAACTAAGAAAATATACAAAAGATAAGTAGAGATGATTAAAATCAAACTCTGTATTTCAAAAAAGAAAAAAAGAAATCTTATTGTTGGACTGTTATGCAAACAAAGAATTATAATAAGAAATGTACGAAACAATCATACCTACCTAAAGGAAAAACATCCCCATTTTCTATGGCAGGTTATATAAATAAGAATTATATTCTGAGAGAGCATTTTCTTCTTTCCAGAAATCACAGTTAACAAAAGAAATTAAGTGTAAGAATATGAATAAGACAATTTATTTTTGTAAGTCTTCAACTATGTAGCTCATGCTCACATACAAGTATTACAAACCAATGCTTACTGATGCTGCATGTAAGAGGAAAAGTCAAAAGAGAAACAATTATCATGATGTAAACTAACCATGTTTTAAGTTAACATAAAATTTAATCAAGCTGTAAAATGTTATATTTTTAGAAGTAATTCAAACTAAGTACTGAAACTGGTTCAACAGCTATCATTATTTGATTTAAACTGGAAATGAAAACTGGGAAACTGCTGCAGAGATGAGGAAAGTTAGAAGCCATCATCATGGTAGGAAGCTTCTCTATACAACATGACTGATGTGTGGGTAATCAACATAAATGAAGCGCATATTGGGACAAAACTTTGTGCAAAACACAGGCTTGATGTTAGACTAGATTCAAACAGTTCTGCAGTCTACAACCAGGAAATCCTTGTGATTTTCACTTCACTTACACAACTAGAGATTGTACTTCAAGTGATAAAAAGGATGGAAACACAAGATAATGAAGACAACCAGCTTAGAGAACAATCAAATAGAATCCAGAAAGTCAAGTGGTCCAAAACAAAGGTCATCCACCATGATCACCTTTGGAGGTTTATTGGCAGAAGAATGATCACCTGGTTAACTTCAGAGCAGACTTTGCCTGAAGTAAATAAACCTTACAGAATATTGCTGCGACTAGAAGATTCCCTTGTTCAAGTACCTGAAGAGAACTAACATAGTAACAAGGCAGCAAGTATTGATAAAGGATAAGAGGTCATAAAATCTTTGTGACATAATCCATGTAAAAGAAAACTTCCAGCAAAGGTTTAGTGACTGGACAGCTTAAGGGCATTAACCCTATAACGACAGTCATCCTTTACTGCTCATGTCATGAGGTTTTAGTGACTTACATTCAAAATTTTATTAATCTACTTCATATTTATGTTATATCAATTAGTATAGCATAAAATCTTTGCTAATATCCATATTTTAATAGTAAATAAGTATTAAGTTCTTAATTTCATAAGGCAATATTTAAAAAAAATTCTGAATTTCCCTTAGTCTGACATGTGACACATTTTTTCTAGGCATCTCCTCTCTCTATTTTATCCACCACCCCTTCAATAAGCATGAAATTCAACATAAGTTACTCACTATAAAATTATCATTGTTCAGACAAACCATAATTTTTATAGCCTTCAATTTTGTTTGGTTTCAGGGCTATCAAACAGAAAATCAGACCCCTCTTGCCACACCCACCTGTCACATCCTCTCTTTCAGGATTTGTTAATAGTTCTCTCTTATGTTTAATTCTATATTATCTATAACCAATAGAAAGCCAAGGTTTTCATCTACCAAATGATGTATTATATAACGTTGTTTCCTGAAAGGAGAATTGTCAATTTCACTGTTAGTACAAGTTTCGTTCCCATGGGAAAAATAGCTTGGGTGATTTTGTACCAGTTCTTTTTTTGCAGAGTTAGAAAGCCAGAAAAAGTGTGATAGTTAGGGGGAAATTGTCTACTTTTGCATGTTATTCTATGTTCTTTGGTGCATTATTTAATTAAATAAAAATTATTTAGTGCATTCCTACAATTAGTATAAAAAAAAGTAAGGTTAAGTGTCATCAACAACACAAGCATGCAATGGTTTTATTGTCTTGAAACTGTTAAATGTTCTACAGTAATTCCTGTATGCTGAAGCCAAAAATGATATCCATTTTTCTCCATCGTGTACAGATTTTTCACAAAACGTCATATGTACTTTTACATAAGTTATGCTTAAAATGTTGACAACCACTGGCTATAGATTTCTCTAGACCAATCATGATGTCAGAGTTTTATTGATCATTCTAGAACCCATGAGAAACACATAATAATAACAAATGTTCATTGTGGTAAATGAAATAATAATTTGATCTAAGTAAGAGTTTTTTTCCTTTCCAATTTGTAAAAAAATCTTTATATGATAGGAAAAAAAATGAATATTATTTTCAAAACCTGCATAGCTGAATTATGGAAAATCCATTGTTAAAACCAAAACAACTTTTTTGAAGTTTAACTTTGCAGGCCTGTGCAATCGACAACAAGAAAAAAAGAAGATTCAGGTAAGTACTTCATTTCTTGTTTTTATTTTTATTCTTTATTTAATATTATAAGAGTAACTAAAATGTAAAATAGGGTTAGTTAAGGTAAGATTAGGTAAAATAAATAATAATAATATAATAAAAATTATATTATTAAATATAATTATATAATAAAAAGTTTAACTTAGCTAGTATTAAAGTGAAAATGTTGTATTAATGTCTATTGTGAACTTAGACCCATCAGTGATGCAAGTTAATATCATTAAGTGGACTAGACTTTCAATATCATTTTTACCAAGCAATCCAAACCAAAAAAAAAACCAGAAGCTATTATAATGGTATGTCAACAAATTTTTATTATCAACACTTATTTCTGGATATGTTAACATAACTTTGGACATGAACACCATACATTTACCAACCTTATTCAATACATTTCTTGTATCTTATTAAAAAACCCATTTAAAAATAGTAAAAGTATAGAAATCTGCCCAATAATATCAAACCAATAAAACATTATATATCACATGAAACATGTACAATATGATCATGCCCCATTGTACATGCATGTCAAAGAATACAAAAGTTAACTAATCAACATAGTAAATATATACTACTGTTAACATAAAAAAGATGTGCAACTAAACTTTGCTTGACCTTCATTGTTACTTTTCAGAATATCTCTCATGTTAATGGAACCATCAGTTGGATTCCCAATCAATCTAAATTTTTACTTTATTGTAGCTAAGTACAAAACTCTAATTCAATAAATTTATCTTAGGATTTGCAGTTACGTCTTTTAGAAAAATAAGCAAAATTTTTGAACAAACATAATCAAAGAATTACATGATATCTTTGAGGCAAAACAAAACTGAAGAGAAAGATACCATGCATAATATTAGGATAAAATCAAACGAAATTCATGCAAAACAGCTAAGTTAACTATAAGTTATTAAAAAAGATTAACTTTTATCTGTTTTACATAAATTTTATAGTACCTTTGAATGCCTCCATTTTATTTATTAAAATCACTAGAAGAAAAAAAAACAATCCATAAACTTGTTATCCCAGGTGGTGTAATACCATGCAACATATAAAAATGTGTATATTCCAAACAGAAAATTTCTAAACTAATGATAAGCAGGTATAATAAAATTATTTCATTTATCTGCTAGAGCAGATTGCAACATGTTGGTTTTTCATGAATGCTTGTCTTCAAATATCTAGTGTTTACAAAACCAGTTTATTAGATAATCTTTCATTTCTATATTCCTCTCAATCAAGTTTTAAAAAATCCTGAAAATTTTGAACCTAATCATGTATAATAGCTCAACTATTAAACTATACACTCTCTCCCTACAGGCTTGGTCCCACAGGCCAACCTCGTAACTATTCTGTGCTTATTATAGTTTTTATACTATAATGTTCAATACAAGAAGCATTTTGTACACAAAATATCAGATTTTTTAAGTCATGATTTGATCATTCATTTTTTCTTTTCGAATGTTCACTGTCTAACATATAGAGTAATTTTGATTTTCTGATCAAAAATACTTTTGTGCATCAGACAATTGTCAAATTTCACATGTGAAACCTTTATAATCTGCTAATAACCACCAGATAATTATCAAACATTTTTGTTTAGAAAATTTTTTATATTTTATACGTTATTTTCACGATTGTATCTCTGTATGGGTTTGATCAATTTGACCAACATCGTAACCACAATAAAAAATTAGAAAACAGATATTAATTACACTTTTTCATACTAGAATGACTACAGATTATAACAAGAAACCACAAATGTTTAGTCGAAATATCTTAAATCTCATAAAAGTATACATGACCAAGTCCACATGGTCTAGTGGACCAGTATTTTGTAAAATACAATCATATTTTGGATATAATACATTATATTTTTATACATATTATTACAATTTATAAATAAATTCTTAAATTTCAGTTATTTTTCTTAAAACATAGAATGGTAAATAAAGAATTATGAAAAACAATTATCTGTTCTAGTTACAAACTTTATACTCATTCGCTACTTGCCATAATTTGCTAAGCCTTGTCAAATTTTGCACGTGAAGGATGTAAAGCAAAATAATTTTTTTAGATTTTTATATTCATTTTGAAACAACAAAAAAATCATAAATTACTATATCAATACCACAGAAATCCACTATAATTTATTAGGCTTAGTAACTAAGCTGTAGTTGGGTCGAAAAAATATGATATTTCAAACAACATTTTCACTTACCCCATCCCAGAATCAAGACAAAAAGATCTTTGGAACTTTCCACCTTCTAGAGCCAGAAAACCATGAGGAAAAAATTTTGAGCTTTTGATTGGTTATGAAGGTGTACATAAAGAAGTATTTTAAAAAAAATGGAAGAAGTGGGTGAGGCCACTGTGTTCGATTCACTGAGATATAGTGATATCTCAGCAAAGAGAAAAGATAGGAGGTTTTTATTTTATATTCTAGCTTGTAAATATCGGTAATTTGAGTTTGTAATTCATAATTTGCATTTGGTCATCACATACTACATGACACAATAAAAATTGATATTAAGGATTTTTTTTATATTTACTTTTAAATTAATAAATTAATTCATGTATAATACTAAAATTTATCTACAATTTGATATCAAACCTATTGACAGACAATTCATAAAATAGAAGTTCAATAGAATTGTGAATGTAAGTTTACCAACATGATGACATGCCCTTTGACCCCTGATCATAGGAAGACTTGTAGTGAGATGGTTAAACCTACCCTAACTGAGTTTAAAATGCCAATGGGCTAACCATAGTAATTCCACAAATTATGTTATAATAATCAAAATTTATTTCCAACAGTATGAATAGTAAGAACTATTGAATAGCTAGAACTTGTTTCTTATTTTATTAATTCACACTTACAAAAATTATCACTCTACAAAAACTATTATTGTGCAACTTGGATTGGGTTATAACAGCTGAACTTGAATACAAAGGTAAACTTATTTCAAAATTTGAAACATACATAAACTTTGGGGTCATATTAATTCTATTTAAATTGTATGTGAAAAAAGAAAGGACTGTATGATGAATAAATATCTATCAAATATTAAGTACACAACTTACACTAAGTAACAAAATGAGAATCAATGAATTAGTATGACTTTTTGTGAAACTTTGAAAATATTTCAGCAATGACACTTATAGTGCATCATTAATTTCATCTGTTTCTCTAATTAACAGATGAAAGTTGAAACCTCAGAATGTCCTTCTAGTGGCTTTCTTAGACATTTTAAAGTCTTAGGATGCCACATCTTTCTTTTGAACCAATATTTCAAGTTTGGTATCAAACTATAAACATTCCCACCATCCTCCACATTCTAAGAGTACTTTGATCACATATGATGAAAAAAAAAAGGAAAAAATATAAAATTACTTTTTGAAATAAATATTTAAACACACAGTGAAGAAACAAAATAAAAAAATATTTTACTTGCTTTAAGCAATTTAACTAGTCATGTAGTACATTTGAAGCATAACAGTGTTATAAAATGGTTAGCTCTTCCTATGCAAAATAATGGAAGGTTTTACATAGAGAATTAATACAGTCACAGATAAATTCCTGATTTAAATTTAAAGAACTTTTACACATATTTATCTTGGCCATAGATTATAATGTTATGCTAGTTGAAATTTGATAACTAGCTAGTGAGCAAACATTTTAGCTCAGTAGTTAAACCATTGTATTGTTATGATGTGAACTAGATTAAGTTGGAGATATTTAATTTTTTATAAAATTTCTATCAGCCATTTACAAATCAGAATTAGTGTAAAGATTAATAATATAATATTACATACTTATTTTAATACCAATTATTTATTATTTTTATTTGAATTAACGTTACTCATTATTCAGAACTGGTAAACAGGTGAAATTAAATTAATTTAGAAGTTACAAAGAGTGATAGTTTTTGTAGTAAAAAAGTTTAAAAACACACAGCAGAATGGAAAAAGTCCTTACTGCTTAACCCTATCCAGATGAGTCATAGGTGAAAGGCCATGTCATCGCATTTGTTGACTTGCATTCAAAATTTTATTGCACCACTTTTTCATGAACTTATGTCAATAAGTTTGGTATCAAACTGTAAATTATAATTCATATTTTAGTATTATACATTACTCAATTTCTTAATTTAAAAGTAAATATTAAAAAACACAAACACCAATTTTTGTGGTATGTTGAATGCAACACTGGTTCAAATTAGAAGTTTGTGATGTCAAAATACTAAGTCTATAGTTTTGTATGAATTAGGAACACAAATTACTGATGTTGACAAGCTATAATATAAAATAAGAAACTCTTATCTTTTCTATTTAGTATGATATTGCTCATGTAATGAATCAAACAAAGTGGCACCCCACCCACCTCTTTCCAATTTTGGAAATGCTCCCTTATATATATTTACTTCTATATATGACATGAATAACCAATTGAAACCTCAGAATGTCCTCCTAGTGGCTTTCTTAGACATTTTAAAGTCTTAGGATGCCACATCTTTCTTTTGAACCAATATTTCAAGGAAGTAGGTTATGTTTTTAGTCTGTTCGAAATTTAATATTTTTTTTACACTGAAATACAGGATAGTTACCAAGCTTGATAAATTATAGTGGAATTCTATGGTATTTATATAGCAATTTATTTTTTTTTGGTTATTCAACTGTATATATATATAAACCCTAAAAAAGTTATTTCATTTCATATCGTGCAAAATTTTAAAAGGCTTAACAACTTATTTCAAGCAGCAACCGAGTACAAAGGTCATAACTAGAAGAGATAATTGTTTGCTTTACTTTGTTATTTACAGTTCTATGTTTTAGGAAAAAATAAGTTGAAGAACATATTTCAAAATAGCAATAATCTATATACATATATAATGTATAATAATTGAAACGTGACTGTATTTTACAAAATACTAGTCTACTAAAACACAGTCAAGACAGGTAATTTTGTAAAGACTAAAGGTCAATTTTATATTATTGGATACAGTAACATGAGTGCATGTTTGCCACCTCATTGTAACTTCTTTATTGTTAGCCAGGTATGGCTGAAAGGTCAATATAATAAAAATAATAAATATATATATAAATGTATAATGTTATGAGATTTAACCTATTTAGTCTAAATATTTGTTTTCTTGTTATAATTTGTTGTCATTCTAGAAAGAAAAAAGGCATAATTTACATATTTTTCCTAATAAAAAAGATTACGTCACTTATGATATACAACATTGTTTATTGACAAAAAGGGGACATAGATAAACGTTTCGGAATTCTATCAGATTCCATCTTCAGTATCTAAAGCAAAATAAAATAAATTCACACATGTCATTGGACATTGTCAAAGTATAATTGCTAAATATAACGATAATTAAACAAATAAAACACAAAACAGTAATCATGGGGAGAAACTACAGCAAGAAAACACAACAAAAAATAGGGTAAAATACAGTAATACGAACATATTAAAAA